GGGGAAGCAGCCTTGACAGCATCTTTGAAATTTGAGGCCTAATTAATTCATTTCTCTGTAGAGAGACATAACCACACAGGTCTCTAAATGAAGCAGACTCTGTAAGATATTTAGGACATCAGTCTTTTAACAGGAACTCCAACATCATCTTCTCCTCCCTAAGCCCCCTAAATACCAAGGGATATATTCACCAACAGATTTAGGAGCCTAATGACCACATTAGAAACCGCAATCCCACAATCAGGCCTAAAATGGGATTGAAACCCCACCCCAGCTGTCCCTGAATTCTGTTGACACCTGAGCTCACTCTGCACCTCAGATTTTGCAGTAAAAGTTCCCTGGGCACCTATATTTCTGCCTGTGAGTATGCACTTTGCAGCCCCAGCTCTTGTCTCCATAGTGTGGTACTGTGCACCACAGGGCTGTAACCTGTAGAGCGCAGCAGCCCATTGTGGTTTAAATGCCCCATGTAGACACTGCTAGTGCACAAAGTTATTGTTCTGGTTAAAACAGGGAAGAGTTAGAACTTCAAGCTGGTGTGCTGAGCAATTTTGGGAAGGAGATAAACTCCCCTCCTTTCAGAGTGAGATGAATCTCGGAAGGAGGCGGATTATGAGAAATCTTCTCCTTTTGAGCAGGTGAGTTACTAATTTCCAAATATTGGGCTGCTTCCTTATAAAATAGCGAGTGCTGGCCCCTCTGGGAGACAGAGGGTTGAGCTAGGTGGGCCCTTGGGAGAGTGTTGGGGCTGGCAATTCTTAGGGTCCCAGGTTTCTGGTGGCTGCTCAAAGGTAACAGTGATTATCTCAGGCTAACTGAGAGTAAAGATTCCTGGTTTATCTTCTTAGCTATACAAGGGAAGAAGTCTGTAGTGGTAACAGCAGGAGTCTAGGTAGAAATATTCTACCTTTCTCAGAAGATGTTGTGAAGGCCAAGAATATAACAGGGTCCAAAACCCCTAGATAAATTCATGGAGGATAGGTCCATCAATGGCTATTCCCCAGGATGGGCAGAGATGGTGTCCCTAGTCTCTGTTTTGCCAGAAGTGGGAGATAGCGGATGGATGACTTGATGATTACCTGTTTCTGTTCATTCCTTTGGAAGCACCTGGCTTTGGATTTTTGCCTCTCTTCCCCCATGCCCTCTTTAACGTTGGTGTCAGTGTTATCATTTAGGAGCGAGTTACATTATAGAACCATTCTGTTCTCAGGGTAACCTGGTCACTGAGTGCGGAAACAGACTTTGCAAAGGTGCTTTGGAATATTTCTGGTTTTTTGGCTATATTGCTGGAAATAATTTTGGAGTCACTGTGGCTTGGTCTGAGGAGAAGGGTCAGAGCTCTGGAGATGAGATAAAAACCAACCCTGTGCAGAAGGGCAGCATAAGGCTCTGCCAGTGGATAAATCCTACAGGAGGCTTAGATGGGGCTCGGTAGCTGGAGAGGACCTTCTGCTGGCTCCTCTAAAAAGGGGTGAAGTTCAACCACAGAGAATTATCAGTCTCAGTACAAAAGCGATAGATCACTGACACCCTCCCCCACACACCTTCCAGTCCATAATCCTCCCTCAGGGCTCCGCATTCCCACTGCTCTTCGCTAAGGGCTCAGCGTCTCCATTGACTTCAGAGGGAGAAGGAGAGACTCATAAACTGCAGAGTATCTGATCAGAAAGCTCTGGTGGGTCACTGGGGGTGGGGGCATTCACAGCGCGAGGGCGGATGCACCTGTTCTTTCTTCCTGCTCCGTGAAATACACTCTGGGCATCCGCTCCCTGCGCTCCCCGCGGGAGATGAAGTCAGCAGAGCCTCTGTCTCCTCGTACAGCTCTGTGCGGTGTCCGTAAGGGGAGATCCTTTGTGCCTGTTCTCCGTGCTGTGGAACAGAGCTGCCCTCCCCAGTCTCTGCAGGGGAAGGTTTTTGTCTGAGCTCAGACTGGCTTCTCCTCACTGTGTGTCTCGCGCAGTAATACATGGCGGTGTCCTCGGGTTTCAGGCTCGTCATTTGCAGGTAGAAGTTGGTGCTGTCCTTGGAGGCTGTGAATCGCCCCTGGATGGAGGGGGAGTAGTAATTCGTGACTGAAGATTGGCGATAGTGAACCAGCCACTCCAGTCCCTTTCCCGGCAGCTGTCTGACCCAATCCATCCACCAGTCATTAGGGACAAACCCGCTCACGGCGCATTTCAGCTGGGTGGATTCTCCGGGCTTCTTCACTTCAGGACCGGACTGGGTCAGAACAACCTGCGAACGGGCCCCTGGAGAGAGGGGGGAGGGAAAAGAGGGAACAGTGAAGGAACCAATCAAGTTAAATACATTCTCCATCAATTAGCAGGAATAAAATATATAAAAAACAAAGAAAGAAATAAAATCATGTTTACAATATAACTACATTCATGCCAATAATATCACATCTGCCAGCATGTCCAATGTGCTCAGGGGGAGAAAATACCTGACAGAGCCGCTACAATGAAAAGTAAGTGGAGCCAAAGTCTCATTTTCCCTGATGTTGGAGGGGAAACTTCTCGGGGACTTGGCTGGTCTCTGCCCAGACACGGGGCTGTGGATTGTCTCTCCGGATGCAGCGTGGGGAGACTGAGTGAGAGATTTAAACAGGAACCTGCCACCCCTATTTGCATATCCCGCTCCTTATAAGAGATACAAACACCTCCCTTAATGGTCTGAATTACTGTCATTGAGTCTCTGATAGGAGTCTCCTTAGGGGTCGCCAACCTTTCAGAAGTGATGTGCGAGTCTTCATTTAGTCACTCTGATTTAAGGTTTCGTGTGCCAGTCATACATTTTAATGTTTTTAGAAGGTCTCTTTCTATAAGTTTATAATAAAGAACTAAACTATTGCTGTATGTAAAGTAAATCAGGTTTTTAAAATGTTTAAGAAGCTTCATTTAAAATTAAATTAAAATGCAAAGCCCCCCAGACTGGTGGGCAGGACCCAGGCAGTGCGAGTGCCACTGAAAACCAGCTCCCGTGCCGCCTGCAGCACACGTGCCATAGGTTGCCTACCCCTGCCACTCTTCACTGCGCGTTTGTGCAGCGCCGGGAACATCCAGGTGAGACCCTGATTATACTTTCACATGGCCGGGTTTTAGGCAGGGAGCTAAGTCACCGCATTTGTAAGGGGCTGATAAATTCATCCCCTGCTTGACTTGAAATCCCCAACTCAGAGCTCAAATAGGAGAGTGATTTATCCAGAGATCCGTCTCTGGCTGAGTGACTGTGTCCATAACACACAGCCTGATCAATTGATCAGCAAGATGGTAAATTGTTAAGATAACATCCTTAGCAGAGAGACAAGTATCAGAGGGGTAGCCGTGTTAGTTTGTCTAGACAAAAACAAGAGAAATCCCATAGCACCTTAAAGACTCACAGATTTATTTGGGCATAAGTTTTCACTGAAGAAGTGGGTTTTTTACCCATGAAAGTTTATGCCCAAATAAATCTGTGAGTCTTTAAGGTGCTACTGGACCCCTTGTTGTTTTTATTCTCTTAGCATAGATCTTTTTGGCCTTTATCACGGAAATATAAATTTGCTTAGTGTGCATATGGGCCAAGGTTTTAAAAAATAACACTCCAGATGCTACCCAGGAGCCTGACGGACCCAGCACTGAAGTGGAACCCAGAGACTTTACAAGCGAGGCGGAGTCAAAGTGCACCTGCGGGTCCTATGTGCAAAGGAGCAGTTACTGTGGTACAGGTTTGGAAAATGCTGTTTTCCAACCTCCAATGCCCCTTTTAGTCTTGTCCCCAAGGCTGTGGTGTGCTGTTTGCTCATTGCTTCCCCCTGGTGGTTGACGGGAGAAGCGGACTCTGCAGCCCCCCTCTCTTTCTCTCACTGAACCCTGTTTAGTGTTATTAAAACCAGAAAATGAATATTTTGAAGGGGGTATTTATTTATGCATTTAACCCTCACAGCGACTGACAGGCCGCCCCCCCTTGGCTTCCCGCCCCAGGCACACGCTTACTGCGCTGGTTCCTGGTGCCGCCCCTGCTTATGAGGAGAGGCTGAGGGAACTGGAGATATTTAGTCTGCAGAAGAGAAGAGTGAGGGGGGATTTGATAGCAGCCTTCAACTACCTGAAGGGGGGTTCCAAAGAGGATGGATCTCAGCTGTTCTCAGTGGTGGCAGATGACAGAACAAGGAGCAATGGTCTCAAGTTGCAGTGGGGGAGGTCTAGGTTAGATATTAG